CACGCTGGAGGGACTAGAAGAAGACTTTATTGATCTCACCAATGGAGAAATTCAGTACAGCCCGTTCTAAGATAAGACAAACAATAACACATAGACACCCCAGTTCGGGAAGACCGTAGGGCAGCCACATACTAGGGCGCTCCGTTTTTTCTTCAGAACAGACTATGCTGGGATAAGTTTTTGCAGGAAGAGGGAAAAGAAAAAAAAGAGGAACAGTGCCACACCCCCTACAGGGGATGTAACCATGGTTTTAAAAAAACACCTCAGTACACTAAAGCACAGATACAGTCAAATCACAACATCAAGGACACATAGGGAGGGAGGGATGGGGTGGGTTGGAAGGAAGGGGAAAGGTAACAGCGAGGCAGTGAGTCCAAGGAATGCATGAAGTCTGTATTTGTGTGTGTGTAAAGTGTAAGCAAGCTGGAGTCCACATCCACAGGCTAGATGGAATTTGTCCTTGTGATTCCCATACTCCTGCTTGGGAAGAGGAGGGGGGTAGGGTGGGCAAAGCGTCCGTCTGCAGTTTCATCCGGGCAGGTTTGCAGAGTTGCAGCTACAAGGCCGCTCTCGGGAGGCCAGATTGAGATAAGAGAGATAGCTTTGTTCCAGACAGAGCGTGTTTTGTCTGCCTTAAGTCCTCAGCAGGTCTCTCAATGGCGATCCAATTCAGCCAAATTGAATTAGTTTCTCTCCATCCGATCCACCAACTTCTCCAAGGTGTTACCCATCACCCTCATGCTGTCAGACACCGTCCCCATTTTGCTCCACTGAGCATCCTGAATGCTCCAACGAGCCTCCTGTTTGCTCACCTCGGCATCATGTTTGCGAGACAACCCGCCTTGTGGGAGACAACCCGCACAAGGTTTGAGTCAGAGTGTTGATGGTCCGGTAAACCGGCTCGACAGGCAGCTTGCCACCAGTTGCCATCAGCCTCCGAATTTCTCGAAAACCTAGGTATCCACCAACTCCAATCAGCAGGAACCCAGTTATCATGAATCCAAATAGGTATAGGTCCTCAACGTCCTCCACGGAGAGAACTGAAAGGCATAAAACCCTCCAGGTCTTCCAAGCATCCATCGTGAAACCCGCAGGGTGAGTCCCAGCTGGACAAGTTGCAGCCCCTGCAGCTTGTCTTTGGGTTGAAAAGATTTTGTCAATTCCGTTGAGAGACCAGCCGACCAAATCCATGCTTGATGTTAGGCTTCAAGAAGTAAAAATGCAGAGAGAGGCTCTGAGATACGACAGGACAGAGATAGCAAGCAAGGCACCAATGGCAGGGGAGGGAGCAGAGAGAAACACGTCTGCACTCGCCGAGAGCAGGAAGAAGAAGGTGTCCCGGCTGGCCTGGGAACGCCTCGGGATCCCCCCGGAGGAGCTGGCGGAAGTGGCCGGGGACTCTGGGTCTCCCTGCTTCGGCTGCTGCCCCCACGTCCCGACCCCAGATAAGCGGAGGATAATGGATGTATGGATGGATGGGCTACTCTCTCCGAAAATAACGTTACTGCAGTTTTTTATGTTGTATTTTAAACTTTCTAAAAACGTTCTAAAGTTTTCCCCACACTTCCCAGGGGTGACGTATTCAAAATGGCCGACTTGGTTGGGCGGAGTTGGGGGCGCATGGGCGGAGTTGGGGAGTGACGTAATCAAAATGGCCGACTTAGATGGGCGGAGACTTGGATGGGCGGAGTTGGATGTCTTGGATGGGCAGAGTTGGATGTCCAAAAGGCGCTGCAGCGATATGTACTTGTGGAGTCTAGGACACACACTGGAGGGAAAAAAGTGCCACTACTGTTGTCTTGTGTTAGCTAAGGCCTGAAGTTCAGTTTAATATAGTTGAGCAGTCTGAGTTTGGGCATAGTTACTGTAGTTGGGGGTAGCCTACATACACTATTGTTTATCAAGTGCTAAACGGAACTGCTAAAGCTGAAGGTTGCTGACAAATAAAGAAATGGGGAAGAATAATCATTTTGTTTTCTTGTAATTAAAACTGTCCTAAATCCTTAACAGAACCAACACAGTATTAATGCTGTTCTTTATTGAAGCTCAGTCAGGGAATAAACACCCACAAAATAAAAAGTTGTATTTGTGTTCGGTCTTATCATTCCTGACCAGGCCACACATATATATATGTGACAGGGTACTTCTCCTGATGACCACAGCTCCACTTTATTGAGGCTTCATATATATAGACATCAGACGATGACAGGTGGATGTTACTGTTTTATTTTTCCTGCAACACAGCAGACAACACAGCAACGGCGTGGGTAAAACAGCAGTCTCGCGGGACAATTATGACCCGTATAAATCCTCTCGCCGCTGTGGCGTTCAGTAAACAAAACAACAGAAAAATAACCAATTGTGGCCATACAAAACAGAAACCACACAAAATATATACTACAGTGATCGTATATTACCTGCAACACAGCAGACGACACAGCAACGGCGTGGGTAAAACAGCAGTCTCGCGGAACAATTATGACCTAACACGTGAGGCGAAAATAGCATAGAAGCTAAGTTAGCTTCAGCACCAAATTTTCTAATTAACTAAATACAGGCTCGAAATTTATAGTGAGCGCTAACACAACACACAGAGCAATGCCACACCTCAGAAAACAAAATATGAACTCATTAAACATTCGCAAAATCAATAACGTCCCGGACCATGCGAGAGCACATCTTACCCGTATAAATCCTCTCGCCGCTGTGGCGTTCCCTACGTACCCACTACGTCAGTAGGTGGCGGTGTTGCGCCTGGTTTTACATAATTTAACCTGAGCTCTTCTACTCCGTTACATATATATATATATATATATATATATATATATATATATATTATATTGTGGCCGTCGTGCCACCGTGGGTGTCTTGACAGAGTTTTCTTAGACCAAGAATCGTTGGTGGAACAAGGTTTATTTGTAGTGTGTGCGCCGCACGCACACACACTCCGTCATACACACCCACACTCACGCGCACGCCCGGCTTGGGCCCTCTGCTTGTAGGCAGTTTTGGTGTCCTGCTCCAGCTCTCTCCTAAACCAGCCCTCCCCAGGTCCAGCACGCTACTCTTTTACAGAGGGGAGAGTGATTAGCCAACTGGTTCCAGCTGTGCTTAATCACCTCCCCTGGCACTGCTCACCTGAGCCTCCTCCACACCTCCCCCCTGCAGCTGAGCGCCACGCCCCCTCCACATATATATATATAATATATACAGGGGTTGGACAATGAAACTGAAACACCTGGTTTTAGACCACAATAATTTATTAGTATGGTGTAGGGCCTCCTTTTGCGGCCAATACAGCGTCAATTCGTCTTGGGAATGACATATACAAGTCCTGCACAGTGGTCAGAGGGATTTTAAGCCATTCTTCTTGCAGGATAGTGGCCAGGTCACGACGTGCTGCTGGTGGAGGAAAATGTTTCCTGACTCGCTCCTCCAAAACAACCCAAAGTGGCTCAATAATATTGAGATCTGGTGACTGTGCAGGCCATGGGAGATGTTCAACATCACTTTCATGTTCATCAAACCAATCTTTCACCAGTCTTGCTGTGTGTAGTGGTGCATTGTCATCCTGATACACAGCACCTCCTTCAGGATACAATTTTTGAACCATTGGATGCACATGGTCCTCCAGAATGGTTTGGTAGTCCTTGGCAGTGGTGTGCCCATCTAGCACAAGTATGGGGCCAAGGGAATGCCATGATATGGCAGCCCAAACCATCACTGATCTACCCCCATGCTTCACTGTGGGCATGCAACAGTCTGGGTGGTACGCTTCTTTGGGGCTTCTTCACACCGTAACTCTCCCGGATGTGGGGAAAACAGTAAAGGCGGACTCATCAGAGAACAATACATGTTTCACATTGTCCACATTCCAAGATTTGCGCTCCTTACACCATTGAAACCGACGTTTGGCATTGGCACAAGTGACCAAAGGTTTGGCTATAGCAGCCCGGCCGTGTATATCGACCCTGTGGCGCTCCCGACGGACAGTTTTGGTGGAAACAGGAGAGTTTAGGTGCACATTTAATTCTGCCGTGATTTGGGAAGCCGTGGTTTTATGTTTTTTGGATACAATCCGGGTTAGCACCCGAACATCCCTTTCAGACAGCTTCCTCTTGCGTCCACCGTTAATCCTGTTGGATGTGGTTCGTCCTTCTTGGTGGTATGCTGGCATTACCCTGGATACTGTGGCTCTTGATTCATCACAAAGACTTGCTGTCTTGGTCACAGATGCGCAGGCAAGACGTGCACCAACAATTGGTCCTCTTTTGAACTCTTGTATGTCACCCATAATGCTGTGTGCATTGCAATATTTTGAGCAAAACTGTGCTCTTACCCTGCTAATTGGACCTTCACAGTCTGCTCTTATTGGTTCAATGTGCAATTAATGAAGATTGGCCACCAGGCTGGTCCAATTTAGCCATGAAACCTCCCACACTAAAATGAGAGGTGTTTCAGTTTCATTGTCCAACCCCTGTATATTATCCGTGGCATCACAATGATCCATGTCCAAAAAGCCAGTTCACGACACTGGGGATTGGCAACCCCAGGCCCCCACCTGCCACTCAGCCCACACAGCACCCTTTCAGTGGTAAGACCAATTGGCGCCTTTTTCTGGATAACCTTGACCATCCCCAAGAGCCAAAGAGCAAGTTTGAAGCCGAGCTCCCCCTGGCCCTTGCTCCATGAAGTGCCCCTGTTTCACATTCCAGGGTGAAGTTGTCCGTGCTATCTAAGGCCACTCCCTTTGAGGTCCTGACTTGTTCTTAATCTGAAAAAAAGGCATTCAGGATCCTGGGGATACTCAAACCAATCCACTACATTAAGATGACGATTCTACACATGCAATTTAACATTTTTTTCATTAAATTATTCTCAATATTTTTCTCTTATTTTAATCATATTTCATAACATTTTCCTTATTGTTTTATTCTGATTCTCAATATTTCTACTTCTATTACAACTTCTACTATGATTATGATTTCAGTAGAACCATTTTTTATTTGACAAAACAATACTTGTTTTTTATTTTTTATAGCAGAATTTTTCAATAACAGTATTTCATGACATGCATTACACTCATTCCATCCTGTCCATCATCAGTTTGATAAAGATGAACAATAAAACATTTGGCTTGAAGTGCCTTGTAGATAGTTTTAGCTTCCCAGTGTCTCAGCTATTATAGAACACAACAAATTATTAGTTTATCTGTTCATGTCTAATTAACAGAAAATACAGCAAAAAACACTGCTTCATTTGTGTTATTTCTAACTGATCCGTTTCCTTTACTGATATCTCTAACAGTTAAATTCGATATCACAGCATTTGTCTTTTAGCATCTGTGCTCTGGAACAATTCGGCACTTGAGGATCTTCAGATAGTTCTGGATCTTGTTGGAGTCTCGCCGAAAGCAGTAGAGAAGATCAAAGTCTTTCATGATGCGCCACTCAGCTCTATCAGATCCCAACAAAGCTGGAGTACTCAGGCTGCTGACAGAGTTACTTAATATTCCTAACATCTGCATCTGGGAAGAAAGAATACATTAACACACATTCGTTTTGTACAAATATAACTAGCAGTTTTGTGTGGCTTCCAACAATTTAAGGACCCAGTAAGAGTAAAAGGTTACAGGAGTTATGTTTTTGTTTTTGAAGACAGCTTGTTTCTTTAAAGCTAGGTGGTTTTAGGCAGATACGAATAAAGACATCCTGTAAACTGTGATGATGTCATCAAATCTGAGCCCCATACAACACAGCCCTTTTATCCCTTACTTGACTGTTTTTATACAATTTGCATGGAGATTAATTTAACTCAAGCCTTCCAAGTGATAGATATGAGCGCTGTCAACCTCAAATCTTGATGAGCCTTCTGTGCAGGTAGAAATTTGATCATGAATGAAATGTCTTAAAGAGACAATAAAGAAATTCATTGGTCTTTTACTTGAGCGCCTTAGTGTAAAGAACACATTGACAAAAGTAAGAGGCCAATCATTATTAATGGAGAGCAGAGCAACCCTAAACTGTAACAAGAAAGAGTTAGAATTTAATAAAATATCTCTTTCAAAGGCTTAAAGAAAAGAAAAACAACTGTTTATGGCATTCCATTTATTTAATTTAGTTACTGTAGAGCATCAACGCAGAATTCACTGTTTTTAAACGAAAAACATCCTGCAACCTAAAATGTACATATTCTTATCTGTGCTGTATGATATTTCCTTAATCTGATAAAGAATTAGTAAGCATCACACTAAGCACACTCTGCTGTGTAACATTGTAGATCGTGTACAGCACTGTTTAGTGTGTTAGGTAGCTTTTGCAACATTCTTTCAACTGTATGGGCTCCAGAGCAGCCACCAAAATTGTCAAAATCTGTATGAATTTGTGAAAATACCTTTTCTACCATCTTCTGGACACCTCTCCGTAGCTCATGGACCATGTCACTCATTTCAAGGGACTTATTTGAGCTGAATTTATTGAAATCATGATGATGAGCCATGCTCTCACGGAAATGCCACAGAGGATCTCGCCATGCCACCAGGAGCTTAAGAATCACCTCTGTCAGCTCTTCTCTCTAGATTGACAACAGGAAAGATGTACATCATTATTTTAATTTTCTGTAACTAAGACATGAATTTGGTCATTAATAGTTTTTTTTTATAATGATGGAATGGGTGATAAAAAAACAGCAAAATGAGCGACTAGTAAAGAGTGATGTGGATTATACATCTGTTTGACAAAATAAATGTCTTTTTTTCAAAGACTTGTGTAAAGAAACCAAAAAGCGGAAATGCAAAGGTTAGGAGGCTTTGTCATTCTTTTGTAAATATGATGTGGACAGTTGATGTCAATGAGAGGAAACAACTTTTAAAAAGGTTAATTCACCGCCATTCGCTGAGCGTTCTCTTTGCCATTTGGAGTAAGGATGGTGGAGGTATGACAGTTGCGACTGACCCGGCCAATCTGGTTCTTACTGGGGAGGAAGTAAAGCTCCTGATAGAACAAATGAAATTTCAAAGGTCAGGTGTCATCTAACTGTGAGCTGTGGCCAAAGTATGGAATTGATGAAAAAAGATGGTTGTACGGTGTACAGTATGTGTATGTGAATACTATTAGTGCATTCCATGTTTTGCTAAAACTGTTCCATCTGAACAGGATTTTTTCTGCCCATCCTACTTCATATTAGCTTATGAAGATTACTACCCATAGTTCAAGGAGAAAGCCATTTTTATCATCTCGGATAATCATAATTATTAATCATGATGAAGTAATAACACAAATATAATTATTATCAATATCAAAATATGATCAAATATTTTTGATAAAATATAGTTTGATAAGAAACAGCTACAACAAAAGAGGATCCCAATTCAAGAGACGGGCACTTTTCATTTCACTGCTTTTTTGTATCATTCAGATGTATCTAGAACAATTCAAATAATAGCTTTGAGTATTTCGTTAAAAAAAAACTATATTCATGTTTGAGAATCGTCTGTACTATTGTGGAAAAGAGTCTTAGTCCATCCGAGGAAGTAAGGGATAGAAATACATTTGAAGGAGAAATTAAACTTTAGTTGAATAGTAAGCACTTCAAGGCTCCATGAGTCATATCAAGTCATATTGAACAATTTGCTCCTGTATTTGTGTAAGGAGTAAGTGTGAGAGTAAATGAGTCAAATTTAAATTGGCACATCTATGATGATTGGTATTTTTCCCTTACAGTTCCCACAGCTCAATATACAAATATATATTGGGCTACTTAAGTCCTGATATCAAAATCAGTTTTGTTTATGAAACATTTGAATGAGGATACTTACAAACTCGGAGTGAAGGTCATTTGAAATACTATGCATCCTCGCTGAGTGTTGAATGACCCGGTCAAAAAGATTAGCGAGGGAGAGGACGTGGCATCCTGCTTGGGCGTTGGTACAATGTGGTACTGCAGCAGCACTAGACAGCCTGCTGTACCAAACCAAATAGACCAACACCACCCACACAGTAAACACTAGGAGATAAAACAGAAAAATATATATTTTTTAAATTAGAAACTCTTTAAAAAAATCCATTCAAAGTCTATATGCAAAGTCATTTTCTTGCTGATACCTGCCTGATTTCATGTGTCCAGGCATCCTATAAGAACGGTGAAGATTTACTCCTTAAAGCACAAAGTAAATTAGTATTGCCATATAAAGACTGCAAGAGCTTCAAATGAGGGTCCTTCACAACTAATTTCCCTTTTAAACCTAAATATCAAAGAGCACACACAAGGGAGGGAAAGAGAAGGGTCAGCTAGAGAAGGGCAGATTATCAAATTGACGTCACTTGCCAGTTCATGTGGTACCATATTCATTTTGACTTGCTCTCATGTTTTTCAGCATTCCTCCATTCATTTTTATTTTTAATATTAAGCTTTGAGTTATTCCCAAGTCGATTATCTTCAGTGTCCACCCACCACTGAAATAAAGTGATAGGCTAATCTTTGTTGCCTCTGAGTTTCCTTGCATGCATGATAGAAGGAATTATATCAAGTATAAGATGATCTAAAATGACTGCAGAAGGGTTGTTTGATGTTTTGGCATTTCTTTTACATTTTATTATGAAATTAGTGTTGTGGTCCTTACCTTGCTGCTGCTGGATAGCAATTCCCCATCTTGGGATCACTAAAATCTATCTATCTATCTATCTATCTATCTATCTATCTATCTATCTATCTAT